CGGCATTTCTCACACATATTGGCCATTGGGCCGCTAGTAGACAAACAGACACACACAGAGACAACAAAGACATTCAGTTTTATTTATACAGATAGAAAAAGGTGGCATTTTTGCTTCTAGTTTCTTAGTAGTAGTTTCTTAGTAGTTTCTTTATTTTAAGCAGCGGAAAAAAATCAAACAAATGTATTCATGGATACTACTATGTATATGTCTACTGTATGATGGCCAAGTTAGAGGTCCGTAAAACTTTTCTGAAAGAATCTAATCTTTAGGGTTTGAACTTTTTAGTTTTGACTACGAATTTCACCTGGCTTATGACGTGGATCTTTGCTATTCATTTTGTAAAGCTTGCTTTATTCCTCGAATGCTGCCCCTCTACTGGGAAAGCAAAAAAGTTGGCTTATTAAGAAAAGGTCTCTTTTGGGACAACCTATTAGAAACAAGTTCTAAAGCAGTGGCCAAGAGCAAAAGTGTTAAACAAACTGTTTGCAGGAAGGCAGCGCTGGAGAAGATCCCTTGGAGGCAATTCCGATTATTAACGATCTTGCTAGTGAGGAAAATCTTGAGATGGTTGTATACACGCAGGTAAAGCTTCATAAGGAAAAGCGATTGTTTGCACTATTTTATGGCCAAAAATTTCAGGACTGGCATCCAGAAAATCACATATCGTTTGTCGAAAGGGCCAAGGACGAGGATAGAATACTAAAGAATCACCCTGATAAAGAAGTTAGAGCATTTGATGCTGTACAATTCGAGACGCCGTCGCTGAATCAGGCAAGCTTTTTTGATTCGTTCAGTTATTCAGTTATCTGACTCCAAGCGAAGTCTGCAATCACGGGCCAGCCAAACGACAATCTCTTTGCAGGTTCTCTATCCTTCTCACTGTGTGGAGAATTCTTGGGGCGCACAGCTGCACAGTGATCTCGTCCTTCCTGGAAGCAATGTTTTTCTGATAAGAAAAGGAGAAGAAATTCACGTTGACTCATATTCTGCGTTTGCCGACAACGATGGAAAACAACTGTGAGCTATATTCATGGTCAGAAACCTTAGAGACCGGGCAAGAAATCAAAACAAGAACGCAGATACGAGAGCGATCAAGAGTCGACCAACTTGTACGAGAAGTCCCAAATGTCAATTCACATTGTTAGGGAAGAGAGCATAAAGTTTATTGACGTAAATGCACAAAATTTGATAAGAAAAAATTTTCCAATTATTATCAGGCTGACTAATAGATTCTGTTGCTTCGGTTGCCGTACACATGCTGCGGACAGATTTTTGTTTAGGTTTGGTGTGTCTGCACTTCGATGAGAATTGGCATGTAAATCCAAGTGAAATTTGCTTCCTTGTGAAGGAAATGCGCAAAGAAGTGAGATACCCAACTTTCTCACAATGCGCAAATGAAATTTCCCTTTTTTAGTTAACCCTTTCGGACCTGAGTTTTTCCGAGTTAGCAGAGAAGCCTTACTCCTACTGTTTTTGACTTACTACCATATAAATAACATTACAGCGAAGTCTGGAGTTTTTTCAAGCATATTAACTGTTTCTTTTTGATTTTTCAATTCTTTGATTTTGCGTTTATTTCGGAATTTCAAATCTTCCTCAGTGCATGTGGACCCGTGAACACTTGGCAATTACACTTGTTCAGTATTGTACTCAAACATTCTGATGACATTATAAATTTTGGCTAATCAATATTGCTGATACATGCTAAAACCCTCACGAATTATTGATTGGTCGCAATCGACTTGTACGTAAAAATGC